AGGGTCTTCTCAAAACTTTGAAGGCGGAAAAGCCAGCTAATCTGGATGAGAATGATTGGGAGGATTTGAAGGAGCGTGCGGCAGGAACCATTCGGTTATGCCTGGATGATGGAATTGTGTATCACGTTATGGCCCTGGAAGCCCCAAAAGAAATTTGGGATAAATTGGAAACTCAGTTTATGGAAAAATCTCTAACGAACAAACTGTATCTAAAGCAAAGGCTTTATGGGCTTAAGATGCAGGAGGGTTCAGACTTGGTGCATCATATTAATGTCTTCAACCAGATAATCTCAGATCTGGCCAGGCTTGATGTCAAGATTGAAGATGAAGACAAGGCGATGATCTTGCTATGTTCATTACCTTTTTCCTTTGAACATCTGGTGACTACTTTAACATACGGGAAAAGCACGGTTAAATACAGCGAGATCTCTGCGGCCCTGCAGGCTCATAATAAGCGCATGCGGGGTGTAGGAGATGGATCGTCTGTTGGTGAAAGTTTGTATGCTAAAGAGGGTCAGGATCGTGGAAGGAAGCAAGAGAAGGGTAATTCTGGAAGGAGAAAATCCAGGTCTAAGTCCAGAAATAGCAGGAAAATCCGGTGCTACGGGTGTAATGAGATTGGGCACATTAAGAGAGATTGTCCAAAGTTGAAAACACAACAAGAGGCGGCGAACGTGGTGCATGCTGATGACTCAGATTATAGTGAAGGTGATGTTCTAGCAGTTTCATCAAGTAAGTTGTCAGATGCATGGATTCTAGACTCAGGGTGCTCTTATCATATTACACCTAACAGGGAATGGTTCACAACCTATAAGTCAGGTACTTTCGGTTCTGTTTTTCTGGGTGATGATAGATGTCATAATATCATAGGTATTGGTGATGTTAACATCCAGATGTATGATGGTATTGTCAGAACTTTGCATGATGTTAGACATATACCGGGGTTAACTAAGAACCTGATTTCTCTTGGCAGTTTGCATGCTAATGGTTTTGTTCATAAGTCTGAGAGTGATAAGGAAACCATTAAAATTAGTAAGGGTGTTTTAACTGTGATGAAAGGGAAAAGGACCACAGGGAACATATATAGGTTGTTGGGTAGTACTGTTGTAGGTGGAGCACATTCTGTTGAGTCTAGTGATGATACTACTAGGTTGTGGCATTTACGTTTGGGTCACCTTGGTGAACGTGGTTTGTCTGATTTGCACAAAAGGAATCTGTTAAAAGGAGTTAAATGTTGTAAGTTGGATTTCTGTGAGTTCTGTGTCCTTGGGAAACAAACTAGAGTCAGTTTTTCTACTGGGCAGCATAAAACTAAAGGGATTCTAGATTATGTGCATTCTGATGTTTGGGGACCTACCAGGGAACCTTCAATGGGTGGCTCCCGATATTATGTTACATTTACTGACGATTTTTCTAGGAAAGTCTGGGTGTATTTCTTGAAACATAAATCTGAAGTGTTTGAGAAATTTAAGTTGTGGAAAGCTGAGGTTGAGAACCAGACTGGAAGAAAAATCAAGTACTTGAGGTCTGACAACGGGACAGAATATACTGAGAAAGAATTTCAGAAATTCTGTGCAGAACATGGAATTCAAAGGCACTATACAGTGCGTAAGACACCACAACAGAATGGTGTTGCTGAGCGACTGAATAGAACCATTGCTGAGAGAGCAAGGTGTCTCAGATTGAATGCTGGGCTCTCTAAGTGTTTTTGGGCAGAAGCAGTGAACATGGCATGTTACTTGATCAATAGATCACCACGGACATCACTTGGTGGCAAGGTTCCTGAGGAGGTTTGGTTAGGTAATCCTGTAAGTTTTGATCACTTACGAGTTTTTGGTTGTCCAAGTTATGTTCTTATTCCAGGTGATGAGAGATCAAAGTTAGATCCCAAGTCGAAGAAGTGCATCTTTTTGGGTTACAAGAAAGGTGTAAAAGGATATAAGTTTTGGGATCCTGCAACCCAAAAGGTGGTGATTAGCAGAGATGCGGTGTTTGATGAGAATTTCATGTTCCAGCCAAAGAAAGAAGATGCACTAGTTGATGGTTCTAGCACAGTAGAAGTGGATATGGATCGTGTACCTTTGAGTGAGAAAGTAGTTAATCCACCTACGATTGAGACTCAAGAAGTTGCAGATTCTACATCTGCAGCAGGTTCGAGTTCAGAAAATTTACAAGATTACAGTTTGGCTAGAGATAGATCGAGACGCACCAATGTCAAACCACCTAGTAGGTATGGGTTTGAGGATATGGTTTCTTTTGCACTTCTTGTTTCTAATAATGATCCAGTTACCTTTCAAGAGGCTATTTCTAGCCAGGAGAAAGATAAATGGATGGCAGGTATGATTGAGGAGATGGAGTCTTTACATCAGAATCATACTTGGGAGTTAGCTCAACTTCCTCAAGGAAAGAAGGCTATAGGGTGCAAGTGGGTCTATAGGAAAAAGCCACCAGTATCAGAAAAAGAAGGGGAAAAGTTTAAGGCTAGGTTAGTTGCGAAGGGGTTTTCTCAACAGAAGGGGATAGATTATGATGAGGTTTTCTCTCCTGTTGTTAGACATACTTCTATCAGATTAGTACTTGCTTTGGTAGCCATTTGGGATTTGCATTTGGAACAAATGGATGTGAAAACTGCTTTTTTACATGGTGATCTAGATGAGAAAATTTACATGAAGCAACCTGAAGGGTTTGTTAAACCCGGAGGTGAGCATCTGGTTTGTCGACTCAAGAGGTCTTTGTATGGGCTGAAACAGGCTCCACGGCAGTGGTACAAGCGGTTCGATGCTTACATGATTCAAATTGGCTATACACGTTGTGAGTATGATTGTTGTGTCTATGTGAAAAGCCTTGGTGATGGTTCTTTTATTTTTCTGTTACTGTATGTGGATGATATGTTGATTGCTGCTAAGAGTATGAATGATATTACTGCATTGAAAGTTTTATTGGGTCAGGAATTTGATATGAAAGACTTAGGAGTTGCACAGAAAATTCTTGGCATGGAAATTCACAGGGATAGAAGTGCAAGAAAGTTGTGGCTAACTCAACAGAGTTATATAGAGAAAATTCTTGACAGGTTTGGGATGAGTAAGTCTAAACCGGTTAGTACCCCTTTGGCTAATCATTTTAAACTCTCATCCAGTCAGTGTCCTCAAACAGTTAATGAGATTGAAAATATGGCAAAGGTTCCTTATGCTAGTGCAGTTGGCTGTTTAATGTATGCAATGGTTTGTACTCGACCTGATTTGGCTCATGCTGTTAGCCAAGTTAGTAAGTACATGTCTAAACCTGGGAAGCAGCATTGGGAAGCAGTTAAATGGATTCTCCGGTACTTAAGAGGCACTATGGGGCATGGTATTGTTTTTGGGAGTCAACGGAATGATCATGTACTCATGGGATATGTGGATTCTGATTATGCTGGTGACATGGATAATAGACGTTCTACAACAGGGTATGTTTTTACTCTTGGGGGTGGTCCTATTTGCTGGAGATCATCAGTTCAGTCTATTGTAGCTTTGTCTACAACTGAAGCAGAATACATGGCCGTGACTGAGGCAGCTAAAGAGGCTTTGTGGCTTTCAGGTTTGATTAAGGAGTTGGGTATTGAGCAAGATGGAGTTCAATTACACTGTGACAGTCAAAGTGCCATCTTCTTAGCTAAAAATCAAGTGTACCATGCCAGAACCAAACATATTGATGTAAGGTTTCATAAGGTCAGAGAGTTGGTTGTTTCTGGTGAGATTTTGTTGCAGAAAATTCATACAAGTGAGAATGCAGCAGACATGTTGACCAAGGCAGTTACTAGTGACAAGTTCAAACATTGTTTGGACTTGTTGGGTGTTTCCAAATGTTAAATGAACATGGTGGTCCTAATCCAGGGAGACTATGAGATGAGTTTTTTCTCCTAAAGGGCTTATTTGCGAAGGTGGAGATGGTTAGATAAGTATTTTCTCCTAAAGGGCATGTTTGCCAAGGTGGAGATTTGTTGAGTTATCTTTTTTCTCCTAGAGAGCATATTCGCCAAGGTGGAGATTTGTTGTGTTTGTCTCATATAAGGATTAGGAATATGAGTTTGTCTCAGGATTAGGAATATGAGTTTGTCTCATATAAGGAATAGGAGTGAAAGGGAGAGTATATGCCTATAAATATAATCAATGTATCTCATCACCTGAACACCATCACAAATAATAAGAGAATACTTTCACTCCCGTGGATGTAGGCACATTGCCGAACCACGTAAATCCTGTCTTCTTTACTTTCTGCCATTATTATTTTTCTTGTTCTTATTAATCTCAACAGCTATAGAAGGGAGTATAGAGAAAGCAAAGATTTTCACAGCCAGTGAATTAGCCAAAGCCACTGATCATTTCAATGCCAATAGAATAATAGGTCGAGGTGGGGAAGGTATAGTGTACAAAGGAATGTTGATTGATGGTCAAATTGTTGCGATTAAGAAATCACAAGTAGTGGACGAGAATAAATGGGAGTCATTCATCAACGAGGTTGTTATTCTTTCCCAAATCAACCATAGGAATGTCATGAAATTACTTGGTTGTTGTTTGGAGACAGAAATTCCTATTTTGGTTTATGAATTTATACCAAATGGAACGCTTTTCAACCTTATCCATAATAATCTTGGTGACGAATTCATTCCACTTTCATGGGATATTCGTCTTAGGATTGCATCAGAGGTGGCTAGTGCTTTAGCTTATCTCCACTCTGCAATCTCAATTCCTATTTACCATAGAGATATCAAGTCCAATAACATTCTTATGGATGAGAAATTTCGAGCCAAAGTTTCAGATTTTGGAATCTCAAAGTCCACTTCAATTGACCAAACTCACTTGACCACCATGGTTAAGGGGACATTTGGTTACTTGGATCCTGAGTATTTTCGGTCTGGTCAATTCACAGATAAGAGTGATGTTTATAGCTTTGGAGTAGTTCTTGTTGAGCTCTTGACTGGACAGAAGCCAATTTCATTTGAAGTTGAAGTTGATGATGACGAGGATCGGAGCTTAGTAACGCGTTTTTTATTGTGCATGGAAGGGAAGAGTTGTCTGTCAAAGATTCTTGATGTGGGAGTTTTAGAGCAAGGGAAAAAGGAAGATGTGCGGGCAGTTGCATGGCTTGCACAACGTTGCTTGAACTTCAATGGTAAAAAACGGCCTACAATGAAAGAAGTGGCTGCGGAGTTGGACGCCATTAGAACATCTAATCCCCATCCACTTCCCCACGGTCATGGAAACATTGGGAACTGAACCAGATTTCATAGCATAAAATTTTACTATTTTGCTACATTCTTCAGGTGTATCCAAGTTATCAAAAAGTTGACAGAAATTGAATTATTTTGTCACTCTGTTAGACTGTTATATTCCAGCATATATACCTGTCTCATGCATAGTGTAGTTTCAGCATAGCGTTGGGATGTAAATTAAGAACTACAAAGGGCACTTGATGGTCTTGTTAATTACAGACAAATGATCTGACATGAAAAGAACTAAGCTGAAGGTTGTTTTCTGAGTGTCTTTAATTTCCTTTTTTTTTATTTAAAGTTTCGAAGAATTGTATAATATTATTAACATTTTTTAATTTTCATAAAGAAGTCTTTTAAAAAAAATTGTATAAATAATTTTTAATAAATTTTAATAATAAATTTTTAAAAAAATTTAAAAAAAAAACGATGGTAAGCAAGTAAAATTTAAAATTTATTATTAAAATTACTTTAAAATTTATTAAAAATTATTTAAAATTTATTAAAAATGCCAAATCAGCTGCCACGTAAGCAGATAACCTGCAAAAATTGATGGTAATCTGCTATCCGGTAAAATTGCATACATTTGGAGTGTTCAGTGGCCTAATTGCACATTTTTTGTGTGTTTAGTGGCCTAATTGCACATTTTTTTTTTTTTCGTTCAGTGACCTAATTAAATTTTCAGGTTACGTTCAGTGGCCAATTTGAACCTTATTCCTTTTTAAAAATTCATTTTCTGCTAAATTTGATCATGGGTTGGATTGGCCTATTTACGACTGAGAGATACTATATATGGATGGAACCTATAAAATGAGAAAATGCATGGTGAGGATAAACATACATACTGATTTTTGTAATAATCCCAGATTACATCTTATGGAGATTCCTCTCTTGCATTGCTCAATCTCAGGTGTTAGTGCAAGTTTGGATTTGTGCTCTTAATATGGGCTTGTGTCATCCTCAATAAAGCCATCAAGAAGAGAAAGATGAAGAAGTTGAGGGAAAAACTCTTCAAGCGTAATGGAGTTCTCCTATTACAGCAACAACTCTTAGCCAAAGAAGGGACAATAGAGAAAACAAAGATTTTCACTGCATGTGAGTTGGATAAGGCCACATATCACTTCAATGCCGATAGAATAGTAGGCCGAGGTGGGCAAGACACAGTGTACAAAGGAATGTTAATTGAGGGGCAAATCGTTGCAGTTAAGAAATCTCAAGCCGTGGATGAGAACCAGTTGGAGTCATTCATCAATGAGGTTGTCATTCTTTCCCAAATCAATCATAGGAATATTGTCAAAACTTATGGGGTGTTGTTTGGAGACCGAAGTTCCCATTTTGGTTATTGAATTTATACCAAATGGAACACTTTTTGGCTTTATACATTACAATTTTGACGACGAACTCATTCCTCTTTCATGGGATATTCGTCTCAAAATTGCATCCGAGGTGGCTTGTGCATTAACTTATCTCCACTCCGCAACATCAGTTCCCATCTACCACAGAAACATCAAGTTGAGTAACATTCTTCTGGACGAGAAATTTCGAGCTAAGGTTTTAGATTTTGGAACTTCAAGGTCCATTCAATTACAAAACTCACTTGACTACCCTGGTGAAGGGGACATTTGGTTGTTTAGACCTTGCATATTCTCAATCTAGCCAGTTCACAGAAAAGAGTGACGTTTACAGCTTCGGAGTTGTCTTTGCTGAACTCTTGACAAGACAAAAGCCAATTTCATTTGAACTTAATGATGATGAGGATAGGAGCTTGGTATCACGTTTTTTATTGTGCATGGAAGAGAACCGTCTCATGGAAATTCTTGATGTGGAAGTTATAGTGCAAGGTAAAAAAGAAGATGTTGTTGCAATGGCTTCGCTTGCACAACGTTGCTTGAACTTAAACGGGAAGAAAAGGCCTACCATGAAAGAATTGAAGTGGCCACGGAGTTGGACGCCAGCCATTAAAGCATCTCATTCTCATCTCCCCTTGGCCATGGAAGCATTAGAAATTGAATCAGATTTCACAGCTTAAATTTTTCTATTTTATTAATTTGTTACATCTACCTTTCTTAAAGTATTTCTATTAAGTTATCCAGAACTTTACTAGCGCAGTTGAAATATTCTTCATTATTCTAGAATCTAGCTTATATTCAAGCACCCTTATCTCATAGCATAGGAGTCATGTTTATGTGTGGTATCAGCATATATGCACATCCTTGGATGTAAAAGTAGAAGTAAAGATGCGCGTCTGTTGCATATGTCTCATGTTATTAGAAGATGACTGATTCTTGATTCTGTATTCCTTAACAAGAGTCTTATTTACATTTTCATAATTCATGTATTTCATGAGAGATTAATATCTCCTTTTAAATAACACAACAATTCTTTCCCTAGATGTTGAGTAATCAGTTTCGTGAAAATATTAATTACCAAGACTTTTATATCACCATTTGTGTTAGGATCAAACGACTCCCAAAAGCTATATATAGTTAATAGCAAATGCGTAACTATATTCTTAACCCTTTAAATTCTTTATTGGTCTCCGCCCAACAATCCTCAGACACCGGGTGTTAGATCAAACTTGGACCTAACAATTTGTAATTAGGTTTCTGGTTCATGAGTGACAATTTATATCCTACACCACGGAGCGCGTTGCACTGTGCGCCCAGATGCAAAACGACGTCGTTTTAAATATATATATATTTTTTTGAAATTTCTCGCCCCAGTGAATGACAGTAATTTTTTCATTAAAAAAAAACCTGTTGTTCAAAAATGTACATAATGTTATACTAGAATACACATAATTGTATACATGAATGTACATAATTATATAACAAAATATACATACTCTTTTTAAAAGATAATACACATAATCTAACATAATACATAATAAACATAAACTTTTAACATAATACACATCAACTCTTAACATAATACACACAAATTTTCTGATTCGGATGTACATAATTGTATAAAAAATGTACATAACTGTATGAACAAATACACATAATTGTGTGAACAAATACACATAATCACAGCAACTTACTACCGCGCCTCCCAAAACGACGTCGTTTTGGGAGGCGCGCGACGCACAGTGCTACGCGCGCCGTAGTGTAGGGTATAACGATTTTTCATGAGTCGTCCTCCCTTTAAGTATTTAATTAATTTTTTTTTATCTCGTTGGGCCATCAGGATCTTTTTTTTTTGAAAGTCAACCATTGGGTTGTATTTATAAATGAATCATAATAGAGTCAGGAGGGACATTGTCCCAGTACATTGGTAGCGTATAATTAAAAGCAGTTGCTGCTAAAGTATGAGCTAAAGTATTATGCGATCTAGAAATAAAATTAACCGAACAATAATCTAACATATTTAAATGCGTCCTGCAGTCATCCAGTACGTAACCAAGATAGGATCTTATCTGAATAGTAGTTGATGTCAAATATGTGAGTAGTGTCTGACAATCCGTGTAGAGGTTTACCGACTGTTCACCTCTGTCTTTGAGCCACGATAACACTTCCTTGCATGCCAGAGCCTCGGCCATAAAGCGGTGAAAAACAATTCTGCGGGGGTGCACAAAATGCTGATATATAGTTGCCAGTGTGGGTAAATAAGACCGCTCCAACAGTGGCCGTCATGGACGACGGTTGGTAGCCGGCGTTGAAATAACATTGTCTTGGTTGTGGTGGGTGGTCCACGGCAGGAGCTTGCGCCATGTTGAGTTGGTGCCGCTGCTGGGATAAAATGGCGGGATTGGGCAGTGTGATCTGCTGGGCCGGTGCAGTGGGTATGGCGGCATTTAAGCTGGCAGCCACATGCACCGTTCGGGTAGTCACTCGTAGGTTGTGCCACGCCTTCACGGTTGCTAAGGCCGTGGCTACAACATTCTTCGGTCTTGGTAAGCAAGCATTCCACACAGCATCGTTCCGGGCCCTCCAAATATTGTATAAAATTGCAGCTGCAAACAATATTGCATCAGAATCTAGAACATTTAATAATGTTCCAAACCAATCATAAAAAACGTTTGTCACAATTTGGGGGATTGGAAGGTTAGATTGGGCCCATATGGCTTTTGCATAGTCACACAACACTAACGAATGCATTATATCTTCATGTTCTAATCCACACATGGCGCATGTCGGATCAATTTCCACCCTCTTTATAAGCAAATTAGTAGTAGTGGGTAATATATTGCTTATTGCTCTCCATAGAAACATTTTCCATTTGGGTGGTATTTTGAGGTGCCATAGAGTTTTCCATTTATCAAATCCCATACCAGCATTATAGGTACCCACTATATGCCTGTATCCACTCTTTACTGAATAGCATCCATTTGGATCCCCATACCAGTACCATTTATCCTCATATTCCGGGGCAATAGGGATCTTTAAGATTCTAGGTACATCACTTGGTTGGAAAATATCAGTTAAAATGTGAGGATATCCCACATTCCAGTTGTTTGGTCAATCAATCCTGCAACTTTAGCATCTGCCAATTGTACAGGCATCTCAGTATGGACCATAGGATCCAATTCATCCTGTAGCCAAGGATCCTTCCATATTAGGGTTGATTCACCATTCCCAATCCGCCTTCGCACACCACCGGTAATTAATTCTTTTGCAGCCATAATGCTCCTCCAACAGTAGCTAGGATTATTCCCTATACCTGCCTGTGAAAAAGCATGTTTAGGGTAATATCTAGCTTTATATACCCGAGATACCAATGAGTCAGTGTTTGTTAGAAAACGCCAAGCTTGCTTT